GAATGAATGGAAATCCAAAATCTCTGTAAATGTTCACTAAAATTAATACAATTTTTAAAAAGTTAGACAGTAAAGAAAGGGGGGGGAATTGTTGCTCCTTGAGTGCTGCATAGTTTTACTAGTTTTTTAATGCAACAATTTTAAAGACAACTATTGCATTAAAATATTTCATCTCTTTACTACTCAGTTTTTTAGTCCCTTTTCAGAAAGCATGACATTTTTTAAAAGAAAGAAATAGAAGACAAAATTGAAGAAGATGATGCAATAATTCCGAGAGGTCTCATATAAAAGTTGTTCCAAGGAAAGAAAACAGAGTGGAAGGAATTACAAGAGGAAATAAAACAAGTACTTTAGCATACTCCCTGAGGTGGGCACTATGAATCGCCTCATATTGAAACCACTCAGCAAGTACTCAGTAGACGAATGAATAAAGATCTGGACCAGATACATAGTATGTTCAAAAACTAGACATACTAGGGAGCTCTGGTAGCCTAGTGGCAAGAAGCTGCACTGCAATCCCAGAAGTGCATGGTTCAAATCCACCAGATGCTCTACTGGGGAAGGAGGGGAAATTTTCTCCTGTACCAGTCAGATCTGATTTGACGGTACAAGCACACACAAATAATAAAATAAAAAAAAAAATTTAAAACACCAAAAACAAAAAACTAGACATACAGATAAAGTCCTACAAGCCTCCAGAGAGAGCATATAGATGCCTACGTTGTCCTCAGAAAGCCATCAGCCTTTACAATACTAGAAGCTACAATATTATAGAGCAAACCCTTCAAAATTATTTGAAAATCATTTCAACCTGGAATTCTATACATGCTAAACAAAAGATCAAAAAAATAAGAAAAAGCAAAATTGCCATTCATTTAATTTACCAAATAGGGGGCTGGGAAATGGGGTATAAATGATCAGCCAGAGACAATAGAGGAATTAAGGGACTTTCAGACTTTCAATGTGTTGGGAAAATTATCTTCTCAGATACATCTTGAAGAATGTGCTCATCAAATCAGAGGGAGTAATTCAAGGGAGGGAAAGAAAAATATAGAGTTCAGAAAAGATCTGATCCAAAAAAAAGAGGTCAAGAATATGTAGAGATTTTGATGGCTTGCCTTAAGCTGCTAACCAAAAGTTTGGCAGTTCAAACCCACCAAAGGGTAATAAGTAGGCAAGAAAGACCTAGTGATTTGCTTCTGTAAAGACTGTAATCAAGAAAATCTTAAGGTGGAGTTTACCCACTTAAGTGGAAGTCTGTCATCAACCAGAATCAACTCGGCAGCTAGGTTTGGGGTTTGTTTCCCTTTTCCATGAAGGGAGACTTGTGGGTGACCACTAACTGGGAAGCAGCCAGTGAGAGCAGAGAAAAAAAAGTCCGAGGTGCCAGGAGGGGCAGCTCCAAGTAAAGGGCAGCCAAGTAAATGAATCTAGTCTCTGATGTGTCAGAAGACACTGAGAGGAAAGTGACACTTTTGGTTGAAAATTTAGGTCTGAGTTAATAATTGTGTTGTTTACTAGAGTCAAAACCAACCCATAGCTGACCCTCTGGCAGGTTTTCCGAGGCAGTTAATCATACAAGAGGAGACTGCCAATCCTTCTCCCGCAGAGAGGCTGGTGGCCTCAAACTGCATGCCTTCAAGATCACAGCGCAGCTTCTTGCCACTAGGCCACCAAGGCACCCTTGAATCAGTGATAAGTATATAGAATAGTAAGCAAACAAAAGTAAAGAAACTAGGGGCAGAGAGAGTATGAGTAAACAAGTAAGTTATTAACTCCAAAGAGAAAAAAGTTATATTAACAAAATAACAAACCCAACACCACACAAGCCAATGTGAATCAATGTCCTACAGATGTCCGCAGAAAATAAAACTCAGATAATCACAATGTTGTATTTACTGATTCTTATTTAAATTTTATTTTATTAAATTTAATGAAAATTTACAGAGATTTTTGGATTTCCATTCATTCATTGTTGCACTTTTCTCCCTGCCCACCCCTCCCCCACTGTTCGGTCCTCTCTTTGAAAAGTAAAAGAAAAATTCTTTCATTGGTATCCAATCCCCTCGCACCAACCCCCATCGCACCGAGTACACTCCACTAGGTATCATTGACAGGATGAGGAGGGAGGAAGAGGAGAAGAGGAGCTTAGAGGTATAAGAGAAATACATTTTCATCTCCCATAGTAGAAAAGCAAACAAAAAAGTTAATTTAAAAAATCCCAACAACAAATAAGTATATCATTCTGGTATGTGGGGCAGTCTCAGAAGAAGGAGCTGTGACAGGAAGATCAGATACGGGAAAGAAGTGGCTCCATGAGCCAAAGGACACTATCTGTTTATATGTAGCAGCATGATGACAAAAATGATTTTGAAGAACTTGAACTTCTTACCTTTGTTACATCTAACTGATCCGACCAGTCTCTGTTGTACTCGGCACAGTTACCAGCAGCACGACGCTGAATGGATCGAGTGACGTGGTAATAGCAGTAAAACATCACTGCCAGCGGCACGACAAAGTTTATCACAACAACTGTCATCGTGTAAGAAACAAAAGATCTGAAAAGGAGGAAAAGCAATAACAGCGATTCATTTCATTTCCATAAAGGGAGATTGCCTTGTTGCTATGTGCTGTCGAACTGGAACTGACTCATAGCTGAGTGTCTAGTCGGTTTTCAGACTGTAAATCACACAGGGAAGACTGTTCACCTATCTCTTGTGGAGCAACTGGTGGATTCAAACCACCTGCCTTTGGCTTGGCAGCACAATTCCTTCCCACCGGTCACCAGAGCTCCCCATGGAAGTATGAGAAACTTTAAAAAGCAACTCTCATAGGGAGCTCTGGTGGCACAGACTGTAGGGAGCTGAACTGCTAACCCAAGGCAGAGCCTTGAATCCGACGGCAGCTCTGAGGGAGAAATTACAGTATCCCCCCACCCCCACGTCATTTGCAGCCTCAGAAACCTGCTGGAGGGTCAGCGATGAGTCAGAATCAGGGAACAAGAACTAGAAATCCTGGTGTTTTTTCCTGTATTTGTCATTATATTATTAAACATCTTAAAACATAGTTGATACTTAGTGCATTTAGCCCTGGAGTTGTCAAACTATAACCTCAAGATGAAGACAGCAGACCACTTGTTCTTGTAAATAAAACTTTTTTGGGAGACATATAGACATAGACAGCCATATAGTCACTTATGTATAGGCTGTATCTGTTTTCATATATTCTACAATGTTGTTGTGGTTGTATATCAGCTACTTAGAACCAACCAATAGCTGGCCCTTCAGGGGATCAGAGGCAGTTATCATGAGAGGACATTGCCTATCTTCTTCCACGGAGTAGCTGGTAGATTTGAACCATGTACCTTTGCATTGGCAACACAATTCCTTACTACTAAACCATCAGCACTTCCTAAACTGTGTCAAAGACTTTCTAACCTGTAAAACCTAAAATATTTACTTTTTAATCCTTTATAGAAATCAGTTCTAGAACTGAGATGTAGAAATGTCTTTCAGAATATCTCATCTTCTGGTCAGAATATCTCACCATCTTTAATGAACTAAAGTATCCCCCTTTCCCTGGGAAATACAGAAAAACATCACCAACTACTAGGAAGCTTCTTGCAGGTGTTTTACTTCTGCAGCATAGTTCCAGAAGGTGCTGGATTACAAGATCTTCTTGAAAAGATATGCAGAATCGACCTGGGCTGCCTCCAGAGCTGAATGCTGTCTGGCTGCACTAACAGCCTCTTTATGTACCCACAGTGTTACCACTGGGACGTTGTGAGGGTGCTGCTGCCTTAGGAAGGAGCAGAGGAGAGGGAGGAGGGAACAGAGGGAGGGGAGAGAGGAAACTAGGTGACCTTCACTTGCTAACAAGAAAAGTGTTCTTCATTTTTGTCTCTTGTTTGAATCACAGTCACTAATAGAGAAGTCCTTTGCCACACTCTGTGTAAGAAACCTATAACCTGCCATTAAATTTCAAATGGTGTATAACTGTCTACATTAACAGCCTTTGATGTTAAAATGTAAGCATGTCTCTTACTTGTCATTTTTGCGCCAGTTTATGGTACAGGTGGCACCAGTAGGGTCTGGAGCATAACTCGCCCACCCTAGAATAGGCAGCAAAGCCCAGAGGAAGCCGTTGACCCAGGCCCCCAGGATCATGCTGACATAAGTGTTGGAGGTCATTCTTCTTCCTATTGGTAAACATATGAGATGTTAACAGCATCATTTGTCCAAAACTATTTCTTGCCTTCACTTTATTTTAACTGACATTTTAAGTTATTATCAAGGAGATTCTTTATAGAGCACTTTGGTTCACACAAATTCTATCGACATGAATACATTTTCTAAAAAGAGCCGCATTTAAGCTGAAACCTAAATTATGAAAGAGGTCAGTCATGAAGAAAACAAAGAAGAGAATTTCTTGGTGCCAAGAACAGCTTTGTACAAAGGTCCAAAAATGGGAGAGGTTGACCAGTTCTTCCAAAGTGAGAGTGGCCCCAGCTGATGCTGGAAAGACAGACTAATTGTCAAGCATGAAGGTGACTGTGTTATGAGGTTTATATTTTATGTTAAATACAATAGGACAATAGGAAATCATTGATACTTTTGAACAGAGAATAACAGAAAAAAAAAGCTGACTAGGATTGTCAACAGTTATGTTTATATTTTGAAGAAAATATGTGTCAACTGCCACTTAAGAAGTGTATTTATTTAGAAAGCTGGGAAAAGTGCTGTACCTACGTCAGGATGGCAGATAGTCAGGTATCGATCCACAGCCACAACCGTAAGTAATCCAATACTCGCCATACCAAAAAAGATATTTAATCCAGCGTAAATCTGAAAACCAAAATTGGAAAGAATTCACCATTCCAAACATCCTTCCACGAATCATTCAATCTTTTATTCCATTAATAGAATGTTTATATTATATTGAATATTTTTCTTTTACTAATTTTAAAATCCATCTTCTATTGCCAAATTGTAACTTGTTTCATTAATAAAGGCATCTATGGAAAATATCTGGGGTTGTACTAGTTAAAACAAATTTTTTTAAAAATTTAAGACTTAATGTGAAAGTTCTATACAGCAAAAGACATCATAAACAGAGGACAAAAAGAAATCATTAATTAAGTGTAATGCAAATCACCAGAAGAAGATTAGTATTGAAAATGCACACAGTCATCAAGAAAAAAGAAAAACTCAATGGACAAAAGATAAACAGGTTATTCACACAAAAGGCAATCTGAATATTCCTCATATTAGTAAAGGTACAACTACGTTAAATATTCAATAGAACGCAAATTGTAACTACAAAGCAGGATGAAAGTTAATAGACTTGATTAACAATTTTGGAGAACAGTTTGCCACGTCTAACAAAGCTGAAGATGAGCATTCTCTCCAAGTCACCAAGCCATCTCCTAAGCTCAGGTGGAGGGAGCTCTGGTGGCTTCCTGGTAAGGAGCTGTGCTGCAATCCCAAAGGCATGAGGTTCAAATCCACCAGCTGCTCCACAAGAGAAGGATGGGCAATCTTCTCCTGTGCAATTTACTGTCTCTGAAAACCAATTGGAGGGTCAGCCCTTAGTCAATTTCAACTCAGTGTCACAAAACAACAACAATAAGCAGCAATATGGTTGTAAAAGCTATCATATATTAAAGGAGACATGTGCAATCATGGAAGCTTTGCCTGAAATAGGAAAAGAAGATAGAAACAAATAATAATGAATAATATGTGGGATTGTTCATACAATTGCAAACTACTTAACAGTTAAAATTAATAACTTACAACTAGAGCCGAACATACCATGAACATACAAAGATAATAAACAGGTCTGTCTTGGAGAGGGTGAAACCATGTTGCCCATTGAAGGCAAAGATTTTGAAGCTCCATCTCACATATTTTAGGCATGTTGCCAGGAGGGATCAGCCCTTGGAGAAGAATATTATGCTTGGAAGTATAGAGGGTCAATGCAAGAGAGGAAGACCTTGGATGAGCTGAATTGACACAGTGACTGTGGTAATGGGGTCAGGTGTGTCAGAGATGATGAAGTTGGCTCAGGATAGGGCAAAGTTCAGAGCCATTGTTCACAGGGTTACTCTGAGTCATAATTAACTTGACAGCACTTAACAACAACACATCCATCAACATATAAGTATAAACCTTAAAGGGATAATATTAGAGAATAAAAAGAAACTCTGTTCGAGATAAGAAAGATGGGCAGGCTCCCCCACGAAGATTTACAGTCACTGACACCTGTTGGAGGGTCACTGAGTCAAAATTGACTTGAGGGCAGTAGGATTGGTTTGGGTGAGTTATTATTTCCCAGTCAGTTGTAAGTAAAGTTTACAATGAAAGCACTACATCTCTTATCCTACAATATCTTATTTAAGGCATTCAAATGTACATCTCTTTAATCCAATATATTTTACTTTAATTCCAAATGTCTCCAATACCTGACATCCTGCATATCCAAACTTCCAACTTCCATGCAGATCTGAGGCAGCAGACATGGGGTAGCCAATACTACTGACGCCGATGTCAGTAACAGCCAGGTTAATGATAATTGCATTTGTGGGTGTCCGAAGCTCCTTGTGCTTAATAAAGATACCCAGAACTATTATGTTGCTGAGAATACTTATCATACCTGAAAATATGCAGGAAAAATTACACATTTTGCTTTCACTATCACGTGTACAAGTAGAATTAAAAATTCAATATTAAAGTCTTCAAATACAGAGTAAATACCTTCCTAACTCATTATTTTTAAGAGCTCTAAACATGTTTTCGACTATTTGCCTTATTTTCACAGCCCTTCTAGGAAATAGAAATAAGGATATTAAGCCATAAAAAAATCCATCAACTGCATAAACCAATTCATAAGCTGGTTTTAAAGTCTTTGTTGTTGAAATTCCGCCCTCGGTTTTCATTAGCTCATTCATCCTGCTGACTTTCAGGACACATGTCTGGCCACAACTTCTTTTTTGGAAGCTTAACTTCCTGAGACTGAGATTCTTCTTATTTCATTTCCTCAAGAATAATTCTTCCAGAAAGATTCTTCTATTCATTTCATCAAGCCTCAACAACCCTCCTGCCACTATTGCCAGCCACACCCATGTTCCAGCTCTAGATCTTCTCTTTTCATTCAACTGATTGCAATTAGACATTTATTAAGCATCTATAATGTAGAAGGTTATATGACGATGTTCTTGAAAACCTTTATAAGCATGATGTGATATCCTACTCCAAGGACTATTTCCTCATCTACTATATACACACACATAGAAGAGGGACCCTACAAGGTGCAGGTAATCAGAGAGGAAGGTGAGCCAGTTTTCTACTGTAAGAAGCAGTAAGA